GGGGTTCTGGGGGCATGCTCCCCCAGGAAAGTTTTAATTTTAGGGTCTTGGAAACGCCATTTCCAGCGTTTCTCGCAAGACATTTCCGGTAAATTATAGCCTGCGTAGCATGGCGGTTTTGGTTGGGCGCGCTAAGCAATAAAGGCGGGCGAGGGCAGAGAAACCGCGAGGAGATTGGGGCGGAAACAACTTAAAAAACCGCCTGCACGGACGGGGGGCTTTTTTGAGTCGGTCCGTATGCCAGCCTACGGATCGTTCCGATTGGTTCGGAATGTTCGCCTGTCAATCAAATATTTTGGTAATCTCCCATGGGAGAGTTTCGAGGGACTGAACAAATCATCTCCGCAAAACAAAATCAAAATATCAAAGAAGCATTGACCGGAGCGTCGTCGATCTTGAATATTTGACGGGAAAACAGGGCAATTGTATTGAAGGACTTGAAGCCTAAAGAGGGGAGCCTTGAGGCCATTTACAGTCTTCTTCAAAGGAGAGATGTCATGGAAATTTTGTCAACAAGATTTGGCAAGAGCATGATCTTTACTGTCTTTGCTATGGCCAAAGAAGAAATATCCTCATCGAAAACCTGTATGATCACAATTTCCCCTCTAAAAAGTACTATAGACGACCAGATTACTGAAATGTTGTCACTGAGCTGTAAAGCAATGGACCTTATGACGGAAACAGTAAATTTCAGTGCTTCGAGAAAGTTCACCTCAATTTTCTCTATTACTCGGTGTTACAGAATAACGCACTCCGGCGCAATACATCGAACGGTCTCCGCGATTGTGGTCGATGAATCGCATACAGTAGAAGAAAGACGCACAGCGTAATTCTCCATACTTTTTTGCTTGGTGTAGCTTAAGTTTAAGCTACAACTCAAATCTGAAGATCGCGCTATACGTAAAGATACAACATCCTGCAAACAACACTTAAAAAGCCGGGTCCAGCGTCAAAACATTCACGGACAAAGCAGTGACAAAGAAACTACAAACCAAGGCTCCTTGGTTTGTAGTTGTCCAGATCCAGGCATTTTAGTCGGAAAAGACCAAAGAAACTAAAATATTTATTTAGCCGTAATAAAAAGCTTTAGGCTTTAAGAGTGGTCAAAGAAATTAGTACTTTACAACTGCATCTGAGATCAACAAATTCTAATTAGCGAAAATAACATTAACCACAGGAAATAATTACTCAATACAGATTAAACATACCAACTTCATGACCTCTAAATAAATGTAAGACTTAGTGCAGCAAAAATAAGATCTACTCAGTCAAGTTTAGAACGCAGTGTAGTCACCTATGCGCGAGATAGCCACAAAGAAAAAACCTGTGTTTGTTCAAGCAAACTCCAATTCCGGCCAAGGTCACGTTTTACACTATATCCCGAGCTTTTGTGTCGTGTTTAGGCTGTCAACACTTTATTTCTGATTGGCTGGGAAAACTGAAACCAAACAAGTTGTCAACAGGATGTCAATGAGTTGAAGGGGGCGGCAGTTGAAAAGGCCACGAATCCGGGCAGGCGGTTTTTATTTTTCTTGCGGCTTCGCCGCTCGTTCTGAAGCGCGCGAATTTCGCGGCTACGCCGCTCCTGCGTCCGGCTGGACAAAACCGCCATGCTACGCAGGCTAGGTAAATTAATAAGCAGGAAAATGCAGTAGTTAGTTGTAAATTTTAGTGTCGATACGGTGTTTACGGTAGGAAAAAGGCCAGTGACGCTGTCAGAATTATGGAATAATGGATAAAGGAAATACTAAACAAAAACACACCAATATTGGGCGAAACAGGTATCTGTCATCCCGATTTAATGATAAACAAATGCATTTTCCGGAAATAAAAAAAAATATTTTTTTCCCATATTTTAGCTGTACATGTAGGCAAGGCTTATGTGCGTATATGGACGTTACGCTCCTGCCCTGCCACATGAAAAAGCGTCCAAAATTAAATTTGAAAAAAGAGGGAAGTCAGTTAAGCCAGCTTTTAATAATCACTCAAACAGGGGCTGCTTATCAGGCCTGTCCCACCCCAGAAAACAGATTCCATTTGAGAAAGTACTATGTCTTTGCTTGAAGCAAGAGACTCTCATGGAAAATTATATTCTCTTTTATCACAATAATGACATAGCATTGCATTGACAGTTGTATTTCCGGTGAAATTGGTTTGAGGCAAATTGCGCCCAAGAGACAGGATATAAGAAATTGTGCCATCATAACGTCATTTCAGTGGTCTAGATACTTTCGTAGACAATGACTCTCGCCCAATCAAGGTGCGAGAAATATTGTAAAAGAATGTTTGCCACTTTCCGCTAACAGGATTCAATGGATAAGTTCGGCTATTTGTATTCAGTTCCCTGTTCGTTTAGGTAATGGCTAATTACACGTTTCAATACCGCATTCTGCAAGCATATAGGCCGGTTGATCTTACTCTGAATAGCCTCAGGTGCAACTGGACTTTTCTTAGCCTGCGTAGCACGCTTTCCGCGCGATTTCGTTTGCTGCTCTCTCTCCAATTTTCGCCTAATATATAACTCGATTGGAAACGCTTGCTACGCAGGTGAGACTAATATCTCAACCCAAAACCTACGGTGGAGCTGACGTTTGCACTCGACTCGGAAGTAAAGGGTCTTTGAGACGCGGGTTCGCCCGTTCTTATACCCGACATGCTGATGAGCTCCAATAAGGTCCAATAAGGGAGAAACAGCTGGCCATATATAGCTGCCACTTCCAGGGTGATTTGGTTGTGCGCATGCGTGAGGTTAGTACGCGTGCTCCAGTGCTGATAATTGGTTTTGCTCTCAAAACTTAACAATCTTGGACAAAATAAAATATATTTGTTTAAAGATTGCAATCTTGGACATAATAAAATGGAACAGCAATCTCCCATCCATTTTGTCCAAGATTGTTTGTCAAAACTTCCTCGTCCGAAATTTTTCAATTTTCGAAGCTTATCTAATGAATTTTTACAATTTTCTAAAGTTTAAATTTCACATTTCACTTCCCAAGTTAGGCTATTTTTCGTAGAAAAAGAAAAAAACCTAACATTTTCGGATTCAAAAATGTGATGGAGAGGGGTAGCAGAAAATGTTTCACTTTCATAAAACGTCAAATTGCATCTAAAATTTCCCGGAAAATAATACTCAAGACCTTATAATTTCGAAAAGACTCAAGTTTCGCTAGAATGGCCGAACAGATACAAATTTTATAGCGCCACTTACAATTTTTTTTCTACATATCTAAAAGTACTCTGGATAGCCTAAAAAGTGTTGTCAATGTATTTAGGAGGAAACTGTCGTTGGGTGCCCCTGATGAATTTGCACACCGTAATTTTAAGGGAGTTATTATTACTCCAAAAATGGAGTAAAAATTTTAGGTACAGGATAACCTCTTTTTGGGGGGTCATTTTAACTCCTAATTTAACTCCGAATTTGGGGCCTTTTTCACTCCTGAAAAAGAGTTCTTTTTACTCTCAGTGTGGAGTTAAAATAAGTCCGAAATGGGGTTACTTTTACTCCTTACAAGGGTTGTTTTACTCTTTTTGGAGTTAATTCATCTCTGAAAGTGGAGTAAAAATTTTAGGTACAGGATAACTCCTTTTTGGGGGTTATTTTAACTCCTCAATATCTGGGCGTCACTTTTACTCCTGAACAAGAGTTCTTTGAACTCCTTTTTGGAGTTAAAACAACTCCCCAAAAAATAACTCCACTGTGAGGAGTTAAATTAGCCTCACTAGAGGAGTTATTATAACTCCTTGAAAATTACTCTGCAAGGTCACTACGCCAATCACGGTACAACAAGCGATCACAAACGCGGTTACCGTTCAAACAAGTCGCACAATTTTACACTAAATGCGAAATCAAATCCAGCTACGGGAGTCGTTTCTTTGACTGTTCATTCTGTGGCAGGGTTTCGTCTTCACTTACTCTCGGGAGCCACGTGAAACGATCCCATTCTGTTGAGACATGAATTAAAGCAACAATTACTGACGGTGACCGTTTTAAACTTAAGCTATATGTATATACGCCACTTGCACAGCTACTATAATGCACATTATTTGCTCGCCAAAATTTTGCGAAACATCTGTTTTCATTTCTCCTGGGTATTACAGCCATCCCAAGAGAAATTGAAAACAATGCTTACGCAAAATTTTTGGGGGACAAATAAGGTACATTATGGGAGATGTGCAGGTGGCGATTGGCGTAACCAACATGCGTCAGAACACTTAGTTTGCTACACAGCCGTTTTTAGGGTCGTCACGCTCCTCCCCACTTTAGCGTTGTGTGAAGACACTAGAAACGGGTCTGTAGCAGACTGCAGAACACTTAGCAGGTTTACGTTGGTTTAAAATGCTAAATGCCAATGATTCTCAGCGATGCTAGTTTTAAGTTGGCAGTTTCAATTTGCACAGTAATGTTCGCTAGATCCCAATTGAAGTATGGTTCCTGAAGAGTGTCGCCCGCACAGTTCATGTAGGCAAGAAAGAAACTTGGCTTACCTCAAATTCAATGCAACTACGATACTAAACGCTCACTTTTCTGTTGCTGAAAACGGGGTCATAATTTCAAGTTTTAAATAACTGTTTGGACGGTCTAGGGAAGAAGAAGCAATATTCATAGAAAGTCTTTTCTAGTTCTCTGGTGGATTACAGGCCCGTTTTCTGTGCTTACGTTTGAAAACAGAGGTCGTAGGCACTGAGTTCTCAGTGGGTGTGTGCGTGTTGCAGTTTCAGTCTATTCTTGGTTCATATTTTTATTCCCCCTTGTCCTTGTATATGGAAAAAGGTACAAAACAAAGCAAAATAAGCTTAGATCCAAGGACAACAACTTTGATTTGAACTCCTTAGCGGGTAATAGAAGTCAAATAGGCCAGTTTCGAATTATCAAAATTCATATTTAACTCCGAGGCTGAGGTGAATAAGACGGAATAGGTGAATTATCTATTCATGAATATCGATGCCATTTTTTTAGTTGTATTCCCGCTTAGACTCGGTGTCAGATATGAATCTTAGTTTTAATAATTTAGAAATTGGTCGATTGTTTTTTCATATGCATACCTCTTCTTGTTGAAATTAAAGGTCACGTTATCTCCAATAAGCATAAACGGTGCCCACTGTCGCACTCCCGAAAAAGGGCCAGCTCTCATCCACTTCATTGTCTTGTGAAGAGATTCACTAGCACTTTCCCCACGAACAAGGTGATAGTAGAAACGAAACATGAAATGCATTGTCGCTTTGTCGTCTATCGCCCACCGTGCCGCCAACACAGAGCGTGCACCAGATCCTAGGAACGCGCGAGCCATTCCAACCACTCCCTCAGCTCTGATCTCTCCATCTGCAGTGTGACAGCAACTAAGGACTACCAGCTTGGCTCGCAGTCGAACCTTTGAAATATCAGCCATTGTCAATAAGTAGTCGTCTTCTTGTGGAGTTCCGTCTATGGAAATTGGCCGAGCAAGATAAATTTCTCCGGTTTTGGGGTTACCGTGGGCTGCAAAATGTACAAGACTCTTAGAATGTATGCTGTGAAGAACCGCCTGCTTTGTTGCTTCCTTTCCCAGTAAAGTTTGAGCTCCAAGAATTCGTCCTAGCATCCTTGCCTCTTCTCTTGCAGATGGCAATGACGATCTATACACCTTACTGCCTTTGTAGAGCACCCAACCAACGTCAGGATCACCTACTATCAGTGCTCCAGTCTGACTGTGATAATCTGCTGGACTGTTGTGAATGAGGTTTAGAGTTGTCAAAGAAGGAACAATTCGGATTCTGAAAGTCTCTGAAAAATAGAAGGGTCCGGGTACACCTGCTGGTCCTTCTCGTCTACTTCTATCAGGCGTGATGCTGTGTGGTATGATATAGGCTCGGGATGGTCAGCATTTGATGTCAAATACGATTGATTCTCGCACAGCTCCGGAGCTACGACGTAAAACGTTCTGTAGACTTTGTCTCCAAACATGTCTTCTACATATCTTACTGTTGCTTTGTTATTTAAACATTCATTAATGTCTACTTTTCGGAAACCTATTATCCTTCCTTCTTTAAGAATCCAAAACAACGACGTCTGTTTAAAACTGGAAATGTATAGACAAACACAACTACTTTCCTTCTTCGTGATGGATGCAGCACCATTGGCCTCGAGCAGATGACTGAATACATTAACTTGTTCTTCCACAGAGTACTGAGCTGACATCAAGTCGGCCAGGGCTCTGGCTCGTCCAAGCTCTACAACGTCGAGACCTTTATAAAGATCCCCAGTGATACAAAGCAAACAACTAAGGGACTGGTAGAAATGATTGTACTGGTCAAAAAACAATATCTTAAAGCGTTCATTGTTTTTCATGAAACTTTGCATTTTCTCGCAGTTATGAACGTTGGTAAAGAGATGCGATTGAGCATCATGAATTCTGCCTTCAGCCAGCAGCACCAAAGAGAGTTTGCCATTGGCCTTTAATTCACCCTCAATGCTTCCAATGTCTCTATACAGTGTGACTGCCTTTCCATAAAACTCTTTAGTCATAGAATAGTCTTTCAGGCATAGGAAAAGACTTCCTAGGCATTCGTAACACGATGCCTCACCATGTCTGTCACCGATTTCTTTCATGATTTCAAGAGCTTTCCAGTAATATTCCTTGGCCTTAGTATACTCTCCAAGAGAGAAAAAATAAGATCCTAAGCTTTTATAGGATTGGCCTTCTTCCGATTTGCAGCCATTCTCTTCACACATCACAAGTGCTTTTTCATGAAATTCTTTTGCCATGGCATATTCACCCAGGGACCGAAAGACATTGGCTAGTCCTCTGTAACACAATGTTTCCAGATTTTTGTCAACGATTTCTTTTGCGATCACAAGAGCCTTCTCATAATATTCTTTGGCTTTAGAATTCTCTCCGAAAGAATGAAACACTTGTCCTAAGCTTCGACAAAATGCGCCCTCTCCCATTCTGAAGCCAATCTCCTTATATAACGCAAGTGCTTTTTCATGATAACCTTTGGTCGCGGTATAGTCACCCAGAGACTCAAAGACAAATCCTAGGTTCTCGTAACATGATGCTTCAACAACTTTGTCACCGATTCCCTTACCGATTACAAGAGCTTTCTCATGACACTCTTTGGCCTTTGCTTTTTGTCCTAAGAAATTTAATACCCTCGCGAGGTTTATATAACATATGGCCTCCCGTTCTCTGGCACCAATTTGTTCATGAATTGTGATTGCTTTTTCATAATAATCTTTAGCCGTGGCATATTCACCCAAGGAATGAAAGACAAGGCCCAGGTTTAGGTAACATTCTGCCTCACCTACTTTGTCACCGATTTCCCTTCTGATTGCGAGAGCTTTCTCATTACATTCTCTGGTTTTTATTTTTTCTCCGATGAAATTAAGTATATGTCCTAGCTTTCCATGACACACGGCTTCTCCTTGTCTCTGACCAATTTCTTTGTTGATCGCAATTGCGTTTTCATAATGTTCTTTAGCCGAGGCATATTCAGCCTGGGCGAGAAAGACATCTCCTAGGTGTTCATGAGATAAAGCTTCACCTCCTTTGTCACCATAGTTTTTTCTTATTGCCAGAGCTTCCTCATGATATTCCTTGGCCTTAGTATAGGCTCCGAGAAAATGAGAGGCGACTCCTAGGCTTTCGTAAGATGAAGCCTCCCCTCGTCTACTGCCAATTTCTTTATTGATAGCAATTGCGTCCTCGCAATGTTGTTTACCCGTGTAAGATCCACCCGCGGAATAAAAAGGGACTTTTCCTAGGAGTTCGTGACATGATGCCTCACTACTTCTGTCACCTACTTTTTTGCTTATTGCAAGAGCTTTTTCATAACACTGTATTGCCTTAGTTTTCTCTCCGAAAGAAGTCAGTACATCTCCCAGGCGACAGTAACATTTAATCTCTCCTTGTCTATAGCCGATTTCTTTATTTATTGCAATTGCTTTTTCATAATATCGTTTTGCCACGGCGAAATCGCCAAGGGCGTGAAACGTGTGTCCGAGGTTTCTGTAATCCTCTGCTTCTCCTTTCTTATCGCCAATTTCCACTCTAATCACAAGCCCTTTCTGAAGATATTCTCTAGCCTTTGCAAATTCACTGAGAAAATTAAAAACAGTTCCTATGTGCCTGTAACACGAGGCTTCCATTTCCTTGTTCTCGATTTCCTCTGCGATTGCAAGTGCTTTGAAAAGATATTCCTTAGCCTTGCAACAGTCGCCGATTGAACAACATAAAGTTCCAAGATGTATGTAATCTGCCATTTCTCCTTCCCTGTGACCAATTTCTTGATTGATTGAAAGTGCTCTTTTATGGTACTCTTTACTTTTGCGATATTCACCCAGAGTCTTCCAGACTGCTCCCATGTTACCGTAGCAAATAGCTTCGGTTTTCTTGTCCCCAATTTCTTTATGTATCTCCACAGAAGTTTGGTAATACTTTATAGCATAGTTATACTTCTCTAATTGGGTCCAAACATGTGCTAGCTTTAAGTTGCATGATGCTTCGTTCTTCTTGTCGTAGACTTCTTCAAAAATAGTACGTGCTTTCTCAAAATATTCTTTAGCCTCGTCGTAATCACAGAGAGATTGAAAAATGTGTGCTAAAATGACGTAATTTTCTGCCACTTTGTTCCTGTCGCCTGCTACTTTTCTCATCACAAGGGCTTTTTCGAAAGACTTTTTAGCATTCTCTGTTTCATGCAGCGACCAGTATAGAGTTCCCAGATTTTCGTTGAACCAGGCTTCAGCTCTTTTATTGTCAAATTCTCTTACAATAACAGAGCCTTTTTCAAAACATTCTTTAGCCATGTTATAATCACCGAGTGACAGACCCACTATTCCTAGTTTTAGATAACATGTGACTTGTCCTTTTCTGTTATCAGTTAATTTCATGATGGCGAGTGTTTCCTCGAAAAGCCCTTTTGCTTCCCTGTTATTACCTTGCTGTTCATAAAGCTCTGCCATTAAAAACAGAAATACAAATAGAGCTTCTTTGTAGTTTATTTTGCCACTGCTGCGGAGTACATCCAGGCGATTTCTTCCAAACTCTATAGCACTTTTGTGATCACCAATGAGACGGTACGCTTTCAACAATTTAATAGAAAACACTATCTCGAAAAAAGGGATTCTATTCGTTAATTTTTCAGAGAATACAGAGCTCAGGAGAACCAAGCATTCCTTATAAAATTCGATGCCTTTCTGAATACGATTGGTGGCGATAAGAACATCTGCAACGAGCTTTCCAATAAATACGGCTAGCGATACGACGTATTGTTGCACAGCTTCGGGGAATGATTTGTCCATAGCAGAATCTGGCCAAAGGAAGGGGAAAAAATAAGATAAACAAAGGATTATCTGAAGTAGCGTCTCAATGCACAGGGTATATTTTTTCCGCGATACGTAACAAAAACCTTAATAGATAATTAAGCTGCAAATGCATTTCCCATGATGCGCATGAAATAATGACATTAATTGTTATTTTTTAGTCTCGGAATTTCAATTAACCATCGCTCCAATATTCATTCCTATAAGCCTATAAGCAGACATTGCTGTAGAAATATGCCTCATAAGCCCGAGGAAATAAGCCTTAGTCCCCGCCTCATAATGGGTTAGACGCTATGTGCGAGAGCCAGTTGCACTGACCCTACCAGACGGTTGTGCACTGGCACACACTCTGAACCTTTTTTGCTGCTGCTGCTAATAATGTTGCAGTTATAACTACAATGGAGTTAAAAAATGTTGGGACCTTTCCCGTGAGATTACTAAAACTAGCGACCCCTCCCCTCCCACCCCAAACAAAGTTGAATTTGGAGCAAAATGGGTGGAAATGAATGGTTTTTTTTGGCCACAACATTGCTGGGGGAATTGGGGGGACGACGGGATGAACCCAAAGCCGAACAAAAAATTGTCGTCAGGAGCAGGGTCTTACGTACCAATTGCTTGGAAGGGCTTTTTCACACAGTTCCAAGTTCTTTTGTCCTCCATTGTAGTAGAATTTATCTTTCTAAGGATGATGAAAGGATAATGTCAACGTAAAACTCTAATGCGAAGGAATCGAAATTTTCGACTCATCTTAAAGTCAGTTATCTGTATCGCTGACCTAGACCGGACCGATATAAAAAGTGATATTTGTAGATTTCGTAGCGCTCAAACACGTCTACCAGTTACAGTTAAGTATGGAGTATTAAAAAGTGTAAAGGTGTGATTTGGCCTCACAGAAGGGAAAAAAATAGAGATATTCGGCTATTAGTAGTCAGTAACCTTCCAACTCCATGATGAAGAGTACTGCCACGCGTTCATGGTAACCAGTGAAATAGACTTCTGTCGGACATTTATAATATAGATACCTGTGACAGATGTATATGAAATAAATAATATATATATATATAAGAACTGCGGAAATGAAATCAAAGGAAGAATGATCCTCGCAGTTGTGAACGCAATTTATGTGTTTGCGTAAAAAAACCTGAAAAATGAACCCTTGACCTCGAGATACAGTTCCGCTTTTGACTAGCAGAAGATAACCATAAATTGTTTTTGTATTTTGTATTTGTTTTTCTTTCTTCGTTCAGGGGTTTTTCCATTCGCATTCCTCCTTTTATT